CAGCAAAAGTCACCAGCACCATCTCTCCACCCAGCGACAGTCACCAGCCCCACCTCCTTACCCAGCACCTCCCTACTCAGCGACAGTCCTCAGCCACACATCCCCACCCATCAACTCCCCAGCCAGCGACAGTCAGCAGCCCCACCTCTCCACCCAGCGACAGTCACCTGTCCCACCTCACCACCCAGCGACTGCCACCAGCACCACCTTCCCACCCAGCGACAGTCATCAGCCCTCCGTTACTACCCAGCACCTCCCCACTCAGCGACAGTCGCCAGCCCCACCTCACCACCAAGCGACAGTCACCAGCCCAACCTAACCTCCAAGCCCCCTGTGGCTGAAATAGGGAAATCTGAAGCTTTCATCCCCTTGGGACTGAGATAGGGAAATCTGAAGCTTTCACCCCCTGGGGCTGAAATAGGGAAATCTGAAGCTTTCACACCCTCGGGGCTGAGATAGGGAAATCTGAACAACTCCACCCAGCGACAGTCACGAGCCCCACCTTCCCATCCAGCTTCAGTCAAAAGCACCACCTCCCCATCCAGCGACAGTCACCAGCACCACCTCTCAAACCAAAGAAAGTCACCAACCACATCCCCCAGCCAGGACCACCCCACCGAGCAACAGCCACTAGCACCACCTCTCTACCCAACGACATTCACCAGTCCCATCTCACCACCCAGCGACAGTCACCTGCCCCACCTCCCCACCAAGCGACAATCATCAGGACCACCTCCCCATCCAGCGAAAATCACCATCCCCACCTCTCCACCCAACACCTCCCCACCCAGCGACAGTCACCATCACCACCTCCCCACCAAGCGACAATCGACAGTCCCACCTCCCCACCCACAAAGCGACAGCCACCTGCCCCACCTCACCACCGAGCGACTGCCACGAGCACCACCTTCCCACCCAGCGACAGTCATCAGCCCTCCCTTCCTATCCATCAACTCCCCACCCAGCGACAGTCACCAGCCCTACCTCCCTAACCAGCACCTCCCTACTCAGCGACAGTCGCCAGCCCCACATCCCCACCCATCAACTCCCCAGCCAGAGACAGTCACAAGCACCACCTCCCCATCCAGCGACAGTCACCAGGACCACCTCTCCACCCAACGAAAGTCACCAACCACATCCCCCACCCAGCACCTCCCCACCGAGCGACAGTCACTAGCACCACCTCTCCACCCAGCGACAGTCACCAGTCCCATCTCACCACCCAGCGACAGTCACTAGCCCCATCTCACCACCAAACACCTCCCCACTCAGCGACAGTCGCCAGCCCAACCTCCCAACCCAGCTACAGTCACCATCACCACCTCCCCACCAAGCGACAATCGACAGTCCCACCTCCCCACCCAGCGACAGTCACCTGCCCAAACCTCACCACCCAGCAACAGTCACTAGTCATCAGCCCTCCCTTCCTATCCAGCACCTCCCCACCCAGCGACAGTCACCAGCCCCATCTCCCTAACCAGCACCTCCCTACTCAGCGACAGTAGCCAGCCCCACCTCCTCACCCAGCGACAGTCACCAGCACCACCTCCCCACCAAGCGACAGTCGCCAGCCCAACCTCCCCACCCAGCGACAGTCACCTGCCCAAACCTCACCACCCAGCAACAGTCACTAGTCATCAGCCCTCCCTTCCTACCCAGCACCTCACCACCAAGCGACAGTCACCAGCCCAACCTAACCTCCAAGCCCCCTGTGGCTGAGATAGGGAAATCTGAAGCTTTCAACCCCTGGGGCTGAAATAGGGAAATCTGAAGCTTTCATACCCTCGGGGCTGATATAGGGAAATCTGAACAACTCCATCCAACTTCAGTCACAAGCACCACCTCCCCACTCAGCGAGAGTCGCCAGCCCAAACTCCCCCCCCAGCGACAGTCATCATCACCACCTTCCCACCAAGCGACAATCGACAGTCCCACCTCCCCACCAAGCAGCAGTCGCCTGCCCCACCACCTCTCCACCGAGCGACCTCTCCACCCAGCGAAAGTCACCAACCCCATCCCCCATCCAGCACCTCTCCACCGAGCGACAGCCACTAGCACAACCTCTCCACCCAGCGACAGTCACCAGTCCCAACTCACCACCCAGCGACAGTCACTAGCACCATCGCACCACCAAACACCTCCCCACTCAGCGACAGTCGCCTTCATACCCTCGGGGCTGATATAGGGAAATCTGAACAACTCCCTCCAACTTCAGTCACAAGCACCACCTCCCCACTCAGCGACAGTCGCCAGCCCAAACTCCCTACCCAGCGACATTCATCATCCCCACCTCCCCACCAAGCGACAATCGACAGTCCCCCCTCCCCACCCAGCAGCAGTCACCTGCCCCACCACCTCTCCCCCGAGCGACCTCTCCACCCAGCGAAAGTCACCAACCACACCCCCCATCCAGCACCTCTCCACCAAGCGACAGCCACTAGCACCACCTCTCCACCCAGAGACAGTCACCAGTCCCAACTCACCACCCAGCGACAGTCACTAGCACCATCGCACCACCAAACACCTCCCCACTCAGCGACAGTCGCCTTCATACCCTCGGGGCTGATATAGGGAAATCTGAACAACTCCATCCAACTTCAGTCACAAGCCCCACCTCCCCACTCAGCGACAGTCGCCAGCCAAAACTCCCTACCCAGCGACATTCATCATCACCACCTCCCCACCAAGCGACAATCGACAGTCCCACCTCCCCACCCAGCAGCAGTCACCTGCCCCACCACCTCTCCACCGAGCGACCTCTCCACCCAGCGAAAGTCACCAACCACATCCCCCATCCAGCACCTCTCCACCCACCGACAGTCACTAACACCACCTCCCCACCAAGCGAAAGTCACCATTCCCACCTCCCCACCCAACACCTCCCCACCCAGCGACAGTCACCAG